AACATTGTGGCGCGAACGTGCCGTGGCTACACTCCACGGGCTATTATTGTTCTGGCCAGCTCAGATGAAATATTACCCCACAATGCGCGCCAGCACTGTTTTTGCGAACGAGAATTTGTCGGGAAAAATATCGGTCGGAACAAGATGCCGCAGAGAGGCGTGGGCAAAAGTTATGAATTTCTTAACCGTGAATCTAAAATAAAATATACACTAAAAATACTCAGACTCAGAACTTTTACGACCAATCAGAATAAATTAATTACTCCAAGCATTTTATTACAAATGAAACGCTTTGATTAAAGTTCTATTACTATCTTATTCTATTTGAAGTTAACGCAATTATTGGAAGAAATAAGACATTTTTTCCTTAATAAAAAGACTAAAAGTTCCCTTAATTCTCATCGCATTTTTCTAACAAACGAAGGGTCCGATGTGACAATGATTCGCCGGGGTAGAGATAAATTTCTATCACGCCTCGAGATTAGCCGCTATTGTGCAACGGTGTAAGATTAACTGATAAGTGTTATGTTGTTAATAATAATAGAGATGTTTGGATAGACGTTTGCTGGGGGTCGCGGCACCCTTGCAGATATTATTCATTACGTTATTTTAGTGATAAATCAAATATAATGAAGTGGTTATGACACAACTTCTTGTTACATTTTTATTAAAATTAAAAAACAACAGCAAGGGAAAGTAAATAAGGCATTAAAGTTAGGATTTTTATAGAAAATTTAAATCAACTTAATAGTTCCAATCATTCGCGTTTATAATTTTCTTAAAAAAATAAACATACAGACGAATTGAGTACCTCCTTCTTTTGGGAAGTCAGTCAAAAATCATTTTCATAAAATGATGAAGAAGCGATATGTCAGTAAAGTGCCAGGTGTGAAATAGACTGACATATTCAATGCTACATCGATGGTGGAATTTCGATTATAATACACTGTATGCCAATAAAAACGGACAAGTTATATAGAACTGTATCGTAGGTTTAACTCTGAATGTACCTTCTGTTATAAAAATAACACAAGCATATTTGTATTTTATGATCAATTTCCTATAAAACATTAAAAATTTCAAATTGTAATAAATTGAGTTAAGAAGTCCGTCAATTATTTTGGTAGTTAAGTATTCTACTTCACTGATTAAAAGAAAAGACTAAAAACATTAACACTTATATCTAGAAAACTATTACTTCATCTGAAAAGTATTTTAATTAAAAAATTGCACGACCTATTATTTTCGGCCAACAGTGTAACGAAAACCGTCAGCACGTCACATCTGTACGTCTTTTGTAAGAGGAGATAATGCGCGGATCGTATAAATATCTATTATCAATGCAGCCAATAAATATAATAACAATAATATTTTTTACAACAAATGTAACAATACGTGGGGTATGTCAGCCGCCTACCGTAATGAAGATGTAATGGGGCAACGCGATGGCTAATCCTTTGCCGAAGGGGGTGGCCAGCTATGAAAGGATGTCACACGAATATGACAGATATTGTGACAGCAGTGCAACGACCTAAAGCTGCTGTGAGGGCGCTTTAAAATATAATAATTCTAATTTTAAATTAAGAACGCCGATTTAAAAAGTGATTATTCTATCTACTGACCGTTAAAAGATCTAAATAAAAACATAAACGCGGCACAGGCACTTTATTCTGAATCGACGCTTCGTAGGTTAACAATAAACAGTATCATATTAAATATTCATATCCAATTCCCTCTGTACTGCATAGAGCAAATATTTCCGAATTGAAAACATTTTTTTAATTTCCATAACGACTTAAAATTGCTATTACAATTAGTGGCGTCCGTATTACGTGTCAATTTCGCATCGATTGTCAGATGCACCCCAAAAAATAATACCGTTATGAAATTATGCGTAATATTGATTGACGTATGATTATTAGAAACTAGTTTATATCATAATAAATGCATATAGATAACCAATAATTATTCCACTTATTTAAATAAACATTCATGTTGTATGGGTTTTAAATATTTGATCGAAAAATTTAAATATTATTCTGCTAGAGACATCTTTGCATTCTCTCTGTTATGAAAAAAATATAAAAATAGAAATTAAAAACAACTATCGAGCGTTTTACGCGCGAAATACTTGTGAGAAAATATTTACCACAGGAATAAATTCAATAAAGTACTTATTATTATAAAATTGAATAGAATAAGATGCGTCTCGAGATATTTTCTGAAGATTTTATTCAATAAAAAGTAGCCAATCAAGTTTTTACTTTTAACTACGAATACGGTGACATCTCTCATTGTTAAATTTACCGTTGCGATTTTTTTTGGTTTAAAAAGTGTAAATTTTAGATAAAAAAAATTGTTGACGGGGGTCACGCCTAAGTTTAAAATTAAGGTTTATTTCGCAACCTTTCATGCACTTTGACATGGGATGTACAAGTAAAAAGTCCCGCGATTACCCGGATGTTTTTTTTTATCAAGATCTTTGTAGAGATATCAAAATTTGTGAGACGGTGGTTAGATAATGTTACCGCCTGATTGACTACACAATACCGCACCCCTTTCGTTTACCTAGATACGTGAGATTATCGAAATGATTGAAATCCTTCTTCTATTTGGGTACGTTCAATTTATACGTTTTCTATTCACTTTAAATACAAGAAAGATCTTTCCAAAATTTAGATTTATCCAAGATATTTGAAGCGAAATTTTACTGTTTTTACTAATACAATAAAAAGGAATGATTTGTAATTTTTGTTTGTATTAAAAAAACTAAAAAACTACTGGGCCGATTTTAAAATTTCTTTCAACATTAGAAAGCTATGATATCGAATAACATAGGCTATATTTTTAAATTCCACGTGGACGTAGTTGCGAGCAACAGCTAGTATGTTATAATCTACGGATACAAATATTCTTGTGACTTATTCAGTTAAAAAGTCATTTTTAACTTTAATCAAACCAGAATATAATGTAGTATTGTTTTAATATCAATTCGGATGAGAGTCTAGATTAAAACACTAGATTTTAGCGGGTAAATGATATTCTAAAAACCTAGCTTTTAAACTTAAACGTAATCCAATAGTTGTAATGTATTCGTTGAATTTCTACTACACTTCGTATTCGGTACAATCAATGACAAAAGTGTATTTCGCTACGGTACGACTTGTTCAGTGGTAGACATCAAAGAGTGGCTTTGCCTAACGCAGTGGAAGTTGCGCGGTCAGCGCTTGCGGTATAATGATGAACTAAATTGGCATTTTTACAACAAAGTCACGCGCGATTACCGCATCAATGGACCACTATAAGGTGAAACGTTTAACATCTTTATTGCTGTATTTTTCCATGTTATTGATAAATTGAATTCGGAAACACATACTAAAATAGTCGTACTATCTAATTATTTCGAATAATCGATTTAATTCAAATTTATCGAATAATATACAATTTATTAGCTTTCGTCTGATACTTCGTCCGCGAGGAATTAAAAAGTAAACGAAAACAATTACCCTATGTGTTCTTCCAGACTATGCTCTACATTTATGCCGAATTTTTATCGAGACCCATTGAACAGTTTAGGCTACAAGTCCAAGCTTTTACATTTATAATATAAGTAAGATTATATAATAAATTTCATAAAAGACATTTCAAATCCCTAATCGGTCTTAACAATCAAAACAAATTTCTTCCTAAAGCAAAACTATTATATTGCCCAATCTATTTATTACAGTCCTATAATTGTATTGAAATTATGAACGTCTAAATAAAGCTATTGAGTTGTTTAAGCAGCGGAACTAAGTGCGGTTCCCGACGGAACAATGGTGTGGTTTGACTGCAACACAACACCTACATCGCAGACGACTATTATCTGTCTCGAATCCGCCATCCGATAGGCGTTTGCTCATCTCGTGAGTCTATTGCGAGCTCACTGCGTCCGGTCTTTTGTTGTATTGTAGGTCAACATCACGTTTATGGTATAAGAGATAAGTCCACTGTTTTTATTGTATTTTTAATAGAATTTCTCGTGATATAAGATAATATTGGTAAATTCCTTTGGTTTAATTTCAATCTGTTAGCTAGTCGAATGCTGTTACAATATTCAACAACTTTTTCATCTTTTTAAATCCAAAAAAAAACCCGTTTTAACCGTACAAAATGTATTGCTGAAACCGCTCGATAATCCATAATTAAGTGCCTATGCAATATGTTTTAGATCAGCTTAATTTATCTTTACTAAAAGCTCACGTTCGAGCTTAATTTTTTGTGCTTCAACATCGCATCAAATGATCAACAATCGCTTTACATTTGCAAGTAATTCAATACTTTCTATCTATCGTTTCGCAATCCAAATGGCGAATACAATCGACTTCCGCTTCCTGAGAGATAACCGCGCCACGCCCAAACTTACTCGTATTCTTAAAGTGCATTCACTCCGATATAAGGTGTTTTATTTCTTAGTACAAATTATTGTTTTAGGGATAAAAGACGCATATAAATACCCAATATGAGACTAAGAATGATAATTATTTGACATGCATAATGACTAATATACACGAAGCGCATTTTGACAGTGGTACCAATAATGTCGAAGCTATCGATATTGTTTAAACCTATCCGTGTGTAAGGTACTTATGATATTGGAAATTTTAAAGCTACTTTGGTCTGTTTAGACATTTAAAAAAAACTTATCTTATTGTATTTTAAATTTATCGGTAAAAAACAACTGAATGTTTTGGTAAAGAAATATTTAACTAAGTGATTTATTAAAAAAAGGTAGAAGTGTTGTTATAATTAAAAAGACACGACGAAAGAACAGTGCTACTTGAAGGAACCAATAAAATCAACAGTTTACTGTTTCGCTTGACGTGTGCAGTTAACTTCAATTTTCGGGCGTTATTTATTAACCGGCGCGTTCCGTTTTTCCACACATCGTAACACTTAAGTAAGACAAGTGGTTTATTCTTTAAGAAAGGGCTAGAGTGTTTTAAACTAAAAAAACTCACCTCCCACGCATATCTTCTGTCTACAAGCTTCGATTCCCATTTGCCGGTGAATGGTCCGTACTTGTTACCAACTGGTATACTGCATCTTGCGAATACTCCGCCATTTTTAATCTCCAGTTCATTGGGCAGATTGTATTCTGAGTTGTCGACGTCATTATCTTTGTTAGGATCATATTTTTCATCGGAACTTTTATCCGGATCGAGGAAGTCTGGATGAGGTAAATCTAGAGGTCTGGGTAGGAAATTTTGTCCGTAATCTGCGAAATTCTGTGGCAGATAGGCATCTGGAATACCAAAGTCTATATTGCCATAGTACTCTTTAACGTCTGTGCCTGGCGCCATTGGCTCCTGCTTGATATGCACTAAGGTGGGCGCTGGTTCTGATGCCGCGGAGTTGGTGGGACTCGGGGCCGGGCTGCCAGATTCCTGGCTCTCCGCTGCTGTTGACAAAAAACAACTGTTAAATTTGTGCATTTCATATCAAAATCACCTCACTTATTTTTAAAATGAACTACATGGAGATAAGTTTTAAATCATTAGAAACATTTCTGGGAGACTGACTGTCAATTATTTAAGTGACAAACATCACACGAAATTCGATGTAATTAAGAAATTGTTAATTTAGCTTTAAATTTTCTTTGAAGAATCTTGAAACTTTAGTAACGTTATAAAGTGCATCGGCGCGTTTGGCTGCCTGCATGTGAACCTGTCTGATTATTTTTCAGACAAAAATAAAATGATGGAATGCAAGATGGTGCTCGCATTATGCCTCATTTCCGTTCCACACAAAGCGTTTCCGCTTGTCTCTTACCGCTGAGAGAATCCCTCCCAAATGCAAATCCACACCGAGATATCTGAATCGAGTGGTTCCTCCGAATTATTGTATAACTCTGGAATTTCACATTCATTGAAATCCGAACTTAGTTCTATAATATTTTATTCAGTTTTTTCATTGATATGCGAACTGTTCATCGAATTCATGGAATTAATAAACCTTAAAAATTACCTTATTCCAAATATGGAAATACTACTATTTTTTGGCTTTTACCAGTAAAGTCCTACAGTTATATATTTTTATATTGAATTAATTTACATATTTTTGTCTAAACACCATAATGATTAACTTCCCCAATTATTAGTAATTTCGATTGAAATTATAATCATTAATTCTATATCCATCTGTACAGAAATTATCAAAGGAAACAAATTGCGTCACTTAATTTTCAATGTGAGAAAATTATTACAAAGTGTAAACCTACGCGTGCCATCAATAAAACGCATCCCCCAAGCAAACACAAGTGAGAGAGACACTCCATAAATCATAACGCACCCCATTACTACTAATATACTTGTTAAAACAACCCCCTATCTTGTCAGGACGTCTTCCGCACGTGCGATGAAAAAAAACGCTATAAAATTAGACGCTTGATCACAGCCTAATACAATACGGGCTTGGTATGATAACTGCTTAACATAACAAAGGTGCAGTGCGCGTTCACAATGCGCAGGATGTGCGAACATGTCTTTATGATCCCTTTATGTGGATCCAGTTCGGTGAGGACTGTGCTCTTTTAATGTTCGGTTGCTATGCCGACTTCACCTGTCGCGCTCTAGTTTTTGAATCATCATAATTTATGCGCATGAACTATCGAAACTATTAACACGCAATAGTTCCTGCTGAAATAATAATAAATTTAAAAAGCAAGTAGACTGTCAAGTTACAGATAGTAATTATTTATTTTAACTATGTCATGTATTTGCAAAAAAAATAGGAATGAAATCAATAAGTCTTGCATAGTTATTGCATCTCATCCGTCAATTTACAGTCACAGCCACTGAGTTATGTTATATCATGAATAAAGAATATTAATTATTCTCTAGAATATATTATAAAGCGAATGTGTCTGGCTGCTACGCTAAAACGAGGTGTCGTAAAAAGCGCGTTCGAATTTCAAATTCAAATTAGCGATGGCGAGGTGAGTTCGCGCTGCGTGCGCGGACAATGCGGACGAGTCGTCGTTAAATCTCCGGTTTCCGCAGAAACACGACAGACTTAAAATAAGAACATGCAGCGGACTGACAACTCTATAGAGTGATATGACTCAAACATCATATTCAACAATCGTCTTTAGTCCAACTTGAAATAAAAAATATCAATGAAGCTAATAACGCAAAGGTAACTTATCTTAGCCTACAGATCTAGAACAATCAAAAAGGAATATTAAAGTTATAACTAATACCTAAATACCGGTCTAATAATGATAATATACTAGTTACAAGACTGTAACGATAAGGGTAAGGGTAAGGGCTATTCTCTATTAAAGAGAATAGTTAAAAAAGGCTAAATGAAACGATAATTTTAATAACCAATGTTGATATCCGGTTTTCGCAAACCCTGTAATTATCTACCTAGCAATAGGTATTAGTTAAGACCGAAGATCTCTATTATTGGTTTATCTCGAATCTTCCTTCGTCCGCGGACCCTACGGCGCGCTGATTTCACGTGTTAGCCACGCCGACTGACAATATTCACGGTTTACGTCGTGTCACCGAAGACTCGACGTCTCCGCTTGTGTTCACTCATAAAATACTCTTAACTACCCAACCAAACGTATATTTACAATAATCACACACAAAACACACCCTTAAACGAACGTATTAAGGTAACTATTGCTGTGAACTTCGCTTCAGGAGGACAATTGCATTTAAATAGCCATACTCAAGCATGCCTCATCCGATATACAAGCTTGTACTAGGTATTGACTTCTTTGGTATTCTTAGAAAGTATACTTTCTAATACTTTAACAGTACATAAATATCAAAGGAAATGTGACAAGCATATGCGTATCGAAAATAACTGACTTCCTATTTATGTTTTGTTAACAGTGTAAAGTTTTCATCATCTTTAGTATGTATTGTAAAGATTAGGAAGTCCTACGTTATTATAAATGTTAAACAAGTGTTTTTCATAAATTAAGAAGAGTAATTGATAGAAATTCTGTAGATTTAACTCTGCTACGTATCACTTGAAACCGTAGCCGTTTAGATAAATATCTGCAATAACAAATTAACACAAGATTCTTAATAATCAAGTTTAAATAAAAATAAATAATAGCATTTTAAGTGATTTTAAGAAAAGTTAAAAAAAACTATTGAGAACTTCGGGTACATTTTTAACACAGGCAAAGGTAACGCCGCATTCAGTCAAGAATAAAAAAACGCATTTCGCATACGAATAGAGTAAATAGAAATATAACAACTTAAGTTGTGTATAATTTGGATGATAAACAACGCAGAGTCCCCGGCGGCGCTTGTCAAAAGGTTACACTTCGGTAATATAGCGATGACAAATAACCTTTTACTAATAACCGCAGATTCAAGATGTTTTGGGTTGTTCGCACACCCTTAACAGAATCACAGATAACACTCAAGTGGGTACAAAAAACGGCTTTGTTTAACAAGGCTTTTGAAATTGACAACGAATGTTTTCAATATTGATTTTTAGCAATGGTAATTTTTATTTGCATACTTTAAGGCAGGCAGATTTTACTCTTTTAGTTTTGGGTTACCAGTGAAACATCAAATGGATACAGAATTCGACGAATTTTTTGTTACAAAAAAAAATTTTTTTTAGTGAGTACATATCTTTGGATATGAAATAACTACAGAAAAAAAATACAAAAAAAAACGTTTTTAAATAGTTCATCACAAAAGACAATATCCAATAAAGGGTTTAAGTGTTGTTAAACTTTTAAGGTAATATTAAATTTATAAAAATTTACATGAAACATCGTTGCTCAATAATGAAGAATAATAAAGAAGTTAATTGTAAAATAAAACATTTCCAATTATTTATTCATAATAATTAGGAATATTTTGCTAGGCATCAAATAGATAGAATCAATTAGATAAGGATGTTTTGAGTTAACGTTTTATAACACAAATCGTAGATAGAGATTTTAATCTTGATCCAATTTATAAAGATATAAAAATAATGTTTATATATCAATATAATCTCATAATATCAAATATGCCAGTAGGTCAGCCTATTGTAGACAATCTAGTAAAAATAGATTTTTACTTAAAGCTATTTTTCATACTACTAACTTATTAGTTAATTTTTCTATCAAAGTACAGGTACAATTACAAGCTTTTTACAGGTAAAGAGAAAATTATTATCACAGCCGTAACGATGTTCTTTTTTCTTGGATTGAACTTTTGACTAAAAGTAAGATGTACAACCACTGAACCGTGTTATGTTTTTTAATAGTATTATTTATCTCTGCATTTACGGCTTTTTTGTTAGTTAAAAATTTTTAATTTCGGAAATCTACACGCAAGATTTTATAATTTTGAAAAAATAAGAAAATTTTATTGGTTACTTTATTAAAAAATAATCTATACACTTCAGAAATATCTAGTACGATAAGTATTTCTTTGTTGTACCTACCCACCAACGTAATATTTTCTTATAACTAAGTTGTAATGTTGAAAGTAAAGGTTACTTAAATTACAACTTCAATCAAAAATCTGATACGACTTACCAGACATCTTCATTTTAATGCATATATTTTAATACAAATCGAAAATCTTGGTCATTATTCAACGACGCACTGATATGTAAATGTTCCTAATAATTAAATAAATTTTACACTTTTAAAAAATTAAAAATTTTCTAATACCAATAAGAATTAATTTCATAATTTTAGACCACTAACTTTGGAACGCAACACAGCACTTACACGAAAAAATTTAAAAAAAAATGATAAAAAAATTGCATAATTTTGTTCAGTATCTAGTGATGGGATAGACTTGTCGATAGAAAATGTCCGTTTGTGTGTCGCGGGATGGTGCGCGGTCCCGGCAGATATGTGCGTTGGCCGCGACGAACGGTGCCAGAGTAACGCGAGAGGAAGCGAGAGCCCGGCTCATCCCTACGATCCCGAATCATAACCCTCGGCAGGGACGCACCCCGCTCCCCCTCCGACGCCCGCGCCCCGCGTACACCCCTACGCTGTCTTTGAGCAGCGACCCTCTCGCTCGCACCAGACTTTTGGGGTCGCTTAATACAAGGTTAAAGTCTGAAAATAACATACTGATTTTGGTTCATTAAATTTGTTTTTAAAAGAACCAGAATCGTCAAAAATAACATGATATTAGATTATATGAAAAAAATCAATAAGTATGGGTATATCAATTAATATCAATGACAATCAGGGAGGATTTCAAATAGTTTAAGATTTCCATTTAACATTTGGTAAAAAAAATCTTATCAGTGTTGTAATTAATTTTTTTATCGATAGCAACATTGTTACGATAGACATCCACACCTGCCTAAATAATGGTACTTTAGTAACAACTACCTTTGTAAAGTGACTGGTAAACAGCTTAAACGAACCTTATAGTGCTGTACTTCAAACATGTATGTTAAGATATGAAATGTCGAGCGGAAACAGTCACTTGGGATGATATCAAATAACACCACATAAATTTAACATATTACTCGTTACATTGTAACTTCGTATAGTTTTTTTTTTAGAAATAAAATTTACATACTCTTACACATAAACTTTTTTGTGTAAGTGAATTTCGTGTTACATTGAACGTATTTTTCTAATACGTTAATATCTCATTAATCTTCATAAATTAATTTTATTTGTATGAAAACAAACCCTAACAAAGAGCAAGATTCAATTCGAGCTACGTATACGCTTCAGATGTTAGTTTTTCAGTGGCTGAAACCATCGTGTCAGCGTAGTGGTAAGTGAGAAGGGAGATAACTAGATAATGTTCAAGATGCGGCGACGGTCGCGATTGGCCGGCGTAGGAGCGGGGCGTGGCCGCCGCCGATGCACCAATGGGATGTTCCACTTTATCTACGTCTTTGTCTGCTACAGACTGAAAATCTAAACCTCTGGACCTCTACACAGGTGCGAGACAAGATCACTTACTAGCTCTACGCTACGTATTACGTAACTGCACTTTCTTTACTTGAAATATAGATGAACTATAAAGCTAGATTTGTGTTTATCGGTTAAACACAAATTGAATAAATCATACTTTTAACTTTTTCTATCTTACTTAATTTACTTTTTCTTAAAAGTAATATGTTTAATCGTAAAAGTATATTCCGCTTTGGTTTTTAGATTAAAATAACCTGCAAGCCTTCATATATGTTAGTTAATTCTAACGTTTTAAATACCATTTTTTGAATAAAACTTATCGATTTACAAACGAATGTTTCATAGTAAAATGTAACAAATTTAAAGGCAGTTTACCTGAAAAAATCTACGTGTACCTTATGTGCTATATGTTTGTTTTAAAATTAAAAAAAAACGTACAAAAGAATTGAGTACCTCCTTCTTTTGGGAATTTGGTCAATAATATTGTTAAAAGTATATTTAATATCAAGGCACTCTTCTGGAGCTATAAGCAGATTTTAAATCTCAGTTAAATTTAGCGCTGTAATTAAATTCTTACTACGTACCGCATCCACAAACATTGTAACGTGAAGGCGACAACTAGAATCGATTTGCGACAGACATGACGGCTGATAATCGATTCCCGTTCCAACAGATGTCGTAATCGATTTCACAGTTCGCGTATTAAATCGACTCTGTGTCAAGTCGTTATGATTGCGAGGGTGTGAAGGTTTTTGCAATGTGATAAAATAGAAACGTGCATAATGTAACTTTAATAATTTATTTAGTTTATTTTTAAATACGCAAGTTTTTATCCCACCTTTTTACAAAAGTATGGTGTTACAGAGCAAGTCATAAAGTAGATATTTGTATAAATTATTGGAGATTTCAATAGATACTGTCGTGTTTTCGGTACAGAGATATTGTGATTATGGTTTTCTTATCTACTTATTAAATGGAAGATAGAGACAAGAATCTGTTAAAACCTTTTGATTCCTAATAAAATAGAAACTTGTTGTTTTAAAATTGGTAAGGACGAAGATACATAAAAATGCCCTGTATTAAGTTCTGTATACGCTTATATTTATACGTTTCCAGCGCGCAAATTTAAATTCAGTACAAGTATGAGAATTTATGTCTCGTAATTTCGCGTCGACCGCACAAATTTATTTGATAGGCTGAGACATGGCGTCGCTTTTACGTTTATTTAATAGATGTTTTTGCTTTAAAGAATATTTATATTCTAATTTTACTCAGTTATTAAAATTTATTGTGTCTAAGAGAAAATTCGGTATTTTAATTAAAGTAACATAAATGAAACAGCTGAAATTTTACTTAACAATTTATAATAAAAGTTACAAAAACTAAAGTCACATTTATGGTATCTTTCGTTTAAATAATTTTCTTGGCTTTAAAGATCTAAAAAAACAGACGAAATGTTTACTGTAATAACATTATTCGTAATGATATTACCACTGTATATTGAAATTTAGGTTGAGATAATAATTTCAGTATTTACTCTAAATGTTATCAATTCGTTTCATAAGATTTTTATTCCTTGTAAACATGTGGACCCCAAGCATTAAACAATTTTTCGTATTATGTAGAGGTAGCAGTTCAAGATCCCTTTCGTTGCGGCCGCGCGACGGGGGACGTAGAGGCTAATTCAGGAGGCAACCGCCATCTTGGATGACCGACAAAGGAAGCCAACGGACAAGAAACTTACGATATACATATCCCTTTAGAGATTTAAAATGTAGTTTATCCAACTGTAGAATGTTGGTCACACAAGTTAGCTTTTGCATAACGATTTGATCTTGTACACATAAGCTACAAACTCTAGCATGGGTGTGATACATACTCTATTTTTCGTTGAACTCGCAAAAGTTTTGTTTAAAATTAGATTTACAATATGATATCTACAACCGTGTGATATCTACGTTCAATTCATAGTTAGTAAACACCTACATTCTACATAAAGCGTTAATATCGTGTTCCATTGTTATGTAAAGGTATTGTAACCTGATTATCAACAACAGCACTAGAGCGTTGCATCAAAAATGAATACCAGCACAAAGCAGTTGAGCACTTCGGGACTTCAAGTCCATACAAATTGCCAACAAGTATACGAGTACACATTTGCTAACAAATATAATCCTTATACCAGTATAGCAACGTAAATATATCGAAACAAACTTAGCTAGGAGCGGAATCTCGTGTTGAATTCGAAATGAGTGCGGACGTGACACCGGACCTCACGCGACTCTAACAACTTCTGCGGCGACAATTTTATTTGCGAACTACCCCCCATTTGGCACCTCCCTTTGTTGGCGATTCGTGACAGTCACCCTCCGCACCGTGGAAATGGCTTTAACAAGAAACTTGCTACAACTTTCCTTAAGTACGACTGTTTATATTGCAGGATACTTTGTTTTTATAGCTTTCATAAACATTTAGCATTCTAGAATGTATTTAATATATTGTTAATTACATTTTCTAGCATATAACATTCGATGAACGATTTCTTAGTGGCAAATTTTCTCTTCATATATGTAAATTTCGGTTGTTTGAGAAAGCTTTAAACTGTTTATTCTATCAGAATTTGTTCAATACAGAATGTATTTAGAACGTTATGAGCGAATAATAGATAGGTTTTTTTTTATTTCTAGGATATAGTTGAGGGAGGCCAAAGCTCCGGTGGATAGACGGCGTAAGTTGAGATGCGAAAACCGGTGGCATAGCAAACTGAAGGACCGTGGCCAGAGATAAGACGAAATGGAAGAAGTTGCTGGACCAAGCCAAGGCCTACAAAGTGCTGTAGAGCTACAGAAGAAGAAAGAAGAATTCCTAATATATTAAAATATTTTTAAACAAGTACTGTGTTTTGTTTTAAATGTAATCACACTAGTAAAGTTTAAAATACTTGAAATTCCAATACGATAATTCTTATTGAAGATCTTTTGTATTCAACACAATGACTTTAGATTTTCCATTTGAAATAACTATCGCTTCTCCATTTATACCCGTACCGTTATCGGATTGATAAAGCACCCGCTGTACGTTGTCCATTGCTTTTGAAGGGATAAGCTCGGAAACTTTAAACCGTCTCCGTACAGCCCAGATTCCAAGACCGACGGACATTTTCCATTCTTTTCAATTCCATTGAATTCTAATCGCAAACTATATCTAAGTACATTGATTCTATTTCAAAAGTTTTTTTTGAAAAAAAAATGCTTAAAATACACACTATAACATTTTAATTTCTTAGAAGTCTTTTAATCATACTAATGTTATAAATGCGAAAGTTTATGGATGTAGTGGTTTATGGATGGATGGCTGGATGTTTGTGAGAGTTTGTAGCCTAAACGGCTGAAAGGATTTCGATGAAATTTGGTAAAGATGTAGAGGATAGTCTGAAAGAACACATAGGCTTCACTTTTTGAGCACATTTAACTAATCATAAAAATTCAAAAACTGAGTGATTTAAATACAGCTATGAAAACAACGAAAACAGTGGGTGTAAAAAATATTCAAAAAGAATAAAGCTCAACATACACGAATGTACTATCATCGCAATCGAATCATTCGAATGACCGCTCGAAGAATTGGATTTAAAACGTTGATTTTAAATCGGCACGACAAAGGGTCGAGCTATTCCAATTTTGAACGAATAGATTTTTAAATCGAAATGCACTATAGGCACTCGGTG